ATATATATATATATATATATATATATATATATATATATATAGTAATACATTGTCCTTTGTCAATAAGAGTTATTATAAAATACGGTCATTTGTTTCGTAATTTGCTTGTTATATCGACTTTACGCAAACAGAGGAACTTTCGCCTCTCTTTAACGACTTGCCTCCGCCTTTGTCATAAAAGTTGCTCTTTGTGAAAAACAATCCTTCTGATATACTCAAAGTTTATGTGAGCTATCCCACAAATGTACATGAATCCAGTGCCATAGTAATTGTACCGAGAGTTGTACTTCCAAATGAGGAGTGAGTGAATACTCAGTTGTTGCTTTGAAGGGCTCAAATAGCGTTGAAAATCTTAATTGCAACAGGGGGTGCCGATGACCACAACGGCGAATGCCATTAAGATGAAATTCGACTGGCACAAGATCAACACGACCTCCGCCAGAGCGCAGCACGAGTTCAACGGATGCACCGAACCCGGAGACGTCTGCGACGCGACCTGCCGCCGGACCGGCACCTGCATCCAAATACACGACGCCTACGTCTTCAAGGAGACGCGCGACTGCACTCCCAACTTCTGCGTTCAAAGCGAATGGGAAGCCATCTGCAGCACGGCAACCAAGTGAGTTCCATCTGGGGTCAGCAACAATGTTAACGACACTCGACAAAGACTAAAAACAAAACACAACACAACACAGCAACAACCCCTCGCCGATCCGGACAGCCGAGGCCACTGAGACAGTAGTGTCATGGCGACCTCGCACGGAAGGATCGCTGTTTCGAGTCTCGCACCAGGTAAGGGTGAGTATGTGTATGCCTGTATGAGCGTCTTCCATTCATCTTCCTTCCCCCCGGACTAGCAACTCTGGGGGATGGAAATTGGATTGAGCGTAATGCTGATCCCCCAAAATGGAGTCGGATATACGTATACTTGCCGCGGGATAAATGTTACTGAGCCTCGCTAACCTTCCACGGCTGCCTCCCTGCATTCCAATAATCAAAATCAATTAACAAATGACTTACAGCTGCTTGAAGTCCTATACTATCTTCTTTTTCCTCGTGTTCTTCTTTCTTTACGTCTGTGGTTTATTTTTCTATTTTTGGTACATAAAAATGAGAGAGAGAATAACGTCAATAATTTATTTTCTATTCATAATAATTGGGAGAATACTATTTCTCTCTCGATTCCAGATGAAAATAATTCCCTCAAAAAATCTCCAAACATTACCCCTTCCGTTAATGTTTCCCCATTCTTTCCCAACAACAAAAAATATGCCCATTTTCGAGACAGAATTCCCCAATCTGGCAGCCCTTCATCTGTAAAGCCTAAAAGCGTTCAGGGTGACTTTGTCTACCGCCTGCTCTGTGTGGAGGGGGATTTCGTCGTGATGCCCGTGCCTCGGACTCTCGCTGGTGGCTTCCACCTCTATCACTGGTTTAAATGATTATTATCAAAGGGACTGAAAAAAATAATTGTTCACAATATGACGATCTTTTCTCATTTTATTTGTGTTTATTTGTCTATTTTATAGTAAATTTTAAATAATAACTTGAACATTTGAATCATTTTAATGTGTGCTTTCAGGTGCATCCCTAATTCTCGAGAGATATATTGCGACACGACTGGTGTGTTTCCGGACCCTTATAATTGTCACAACGTTCTCTACTGCATAGCAGGGAGAGTAGCGTCATCTGTAACCGCCTGCAGCAAAGATACGTCTTATGACAGCTGCACTGGTTTCTGCGACGTCGCTCTACCACACCGTCGATGTCTGCCCCAAGGACCCTTGTGCAAATTTCTTATGGATTTTGGTAGTTTGCCTGATAACAGTCGCATCTACTTCTACTGTGTGGAAGTGAGTTCTCAATTTACAATTTTAAATCTCTTTAGGAGCTATGAGAGGCTCGGTCAGCGAGATCGCTTTCCACTACGCCGCCCCAGGTTCGATACCCGGTCAAGCCAAGATTATAGTGTGAGTTTCCCTTGCAATATCCCACTGCTGAAAACATTTTTTTAGCGATTCAAGTAGATCAAAATTAGCGATTAGTGTCCAAAGTAGCCTGTGATGATGGTACGAGTAGTTTAAGTGACATGTAACATATCATACGGTAGAATGATCTCAATAGTTCGTATATAATATGGCGAGCTCTCTAAGTTTCGATTGCCTAAAAAGCTTTTACTGACACCAGTGAAAGTCAGCCATGCGTTTTTTTCATCATTACTCAACAAATCAATGAAATGTTCATGAGCTATTTATTTTATCATTTAAGATCCCACAAATATTCCATGTTTGTCCATGGCTTTCACAAAATATTCCACGAGACCCCATTTAATGTGCAGCTACGCATTGTTGTGGTCAACAAAAGGAGTGCTAACCACAATACTCTGTACCTGCAGTAGTTCAATTGGAGCAAACCATTTTTTTCACAACAGTGGTTTTTCTGTCTCAGCTGTCTCTCTCACTGCCACCCTTGTCAAAGCAAGAGAGCTTTATGCACCGGAACTGCATGCTTCTCATATTTGATAAATGTGATGAGCATTTTAAAGTTCTCATACGTCTACTTCACGTTAACTACATGAACAATCGCAAGGGTATATGTGCCCTTAGTGGAAAAGTACTGCTTTTAGATTAATTTAGCTAGAATCTATTAACAAACGCCATTCAGTTACATTTAATTCATGGCCAAAAGACTGCATAACGGACTCGATATCATTACAAAAAGCTTTCACTTTTCTTGGAGAAATATTTTGATAAAACTACTTGGGGCCACGAAAAACACTTTTCTACAGAGAGAAAGAAGATTTCATTCCTTTAGTCACGAACCTAAAAGATCTGACAGTTGCTTCGACAAATTTAAATCAAGAACAATATCATGTAGATTCCCGTGAGACACAAAATGTGGTCATTTGCGTCTCAAGAGGCTTGAAATGTTGAGTCAGAATGGAGATCTCCTTCTCTGTCTATTAAGGGTTCGTCACTAACATTCATCTTCACTCGCGTTCTTGCAAGGAAGTGATACTGTCAGTTCTTTACTGTGACTTGTAGTCCATATAGCTGTTGGTACATTAAAATGTTGCACAGTTTTCTTAGTTTCTGAGATGATTCTAAATATTTCCGGGGTTCCGTTTTCGCCATTTCAGAGTTAATTCAATACAAACACACTAAAACGAATTTGGGTTATTTACACAGTTTTGAGTCATTTCCTCTTCAGAATTAATACGAAGCATATACCTTCACGAACCTAGAACAACAAGCAGCACATACAAGATACTTTCCTCGCTATCAGATCTCTCAACGCTGGGACGCAACTGACAAGAAAAACAAAGCGATTCTAATAGTTAATAATACTTGAAAAAGCTCCATATTGGGTATTTTTCTATAGCAATGCAGATGTAATTGTTCAGGAACAATTGAAATGTGGCGAAGAAATTCTTATACATGACACTGAATTCAGAAAATTCAACTCTAGGAAACGAAAAAGTGTTGACAACATTGCTTGTAAGTCATGCTCGAACATATATATTGCAATTTTTGCAACTCTGCCCCTGGCAGGTATCAGCTGTTGATAGATTCATCCAATTGCAAGGTTGAATGTCACCATAGTTTCATCACTATGGTAACATGCAAGCTCCCGATTGGATAAAATCGTCAACCGCTGATGCCTGCTAGGGGTAGAGTAGCATAAATCGCAGTATATCTGTTCGAGCATGACTTATCAGTAATGTTGTGAAACATTTTTAAATTATTATTAGGAATACTATATTTGAGACCCAAAATACTGTTTAAGACTTCTCATACTGAAGAAATTTAATTTTATCCGAGTGTTTATTTTTTATCCAGGACGCAAAAGGCTTTCTGCACCCCGTATTTGGAAGATGTCCAAAAGGCTTTTTTGATCCTCGGTCTTTCAGCTGCTCTGAAAGCAGGGTGCCAGGCTGTCTAAAGAGATAAACATTAAAAATCAGAATGCATAAATGATTTTTTTCTGTCGAATCCAATAAGTTTTCGCTAGTTTTGCAAATAGTTATACTAACTTTTTTTAAATTAATTTCAACATAGAGTCAAAGAATCTGGGGGGGGAAATCTGGGAAACTCCAAAACAACATAATTGTAATTTTTGTCATATTTCACGTTTAGAAATAAAATACATGTGAATAGATTCCGAAAGTGTTTGATTAGGTTTATTATTCTAAGTCTATACAGATTATTATTCCCTTTTGGAATATTTTGCTCGGGCAAAGGACGTCTCGACTTCTTCACAATAAAGATGCTAATGTTATTATATTTGTATCAACTGTTTCTCTAATGCAGTGATATCAAGGTCTCCTACTGGTAGCAGTGGCACACTTCGCGACACCGTGGCATGCCACGAGCGTCTCAGCGCCACTAGCGTAGGGAGAGGGAACTATCAGTAGTAACCCTGTACTCAGAAGGCAGTGTAATAGAATTTACTAGGTACTCGATAAATCACAACTTCCAAACTTGATAGATAACTCTTCTCGAATAATATCTACGTATGGTAGCATGTATGTCTGTGAACAAGCATTTTCAATAATTAAAAACAAGCTCGAGGTTCGATTAAGTAATGAAAATTTGAGAAACAGTTTACGAATGTCTCTCGAAATCTCTAGAACCTGACTTTACCAACGTGGAATCTTATGTAAATAAGAAGATACGCACAGAAAAATCAAAATCAAAATATAAATAAAAAATAACAACGGACTCCTGCTCATCGCATTGACTGCTCTAATGTTTAATAAAAATGTTACACTTAATAGTTTGGATATTAAAACTTTATGAACATAAATAAATATCAAAATACACCACTAGACCTAATATAATTTAACATTAATCATTTTTGACCGTAAAACAGTTTAGTCGTACAATGTGAGAGTGATTCTGATAGTAGTTTAATGGTTGGGATGCTTTTCGCTAGTTGTTAGGTTTCCTGTAGTTGATGTAAATCACAAAGCTATGCAGGTGAGTACAAGAGGGAGGAGACCAGCGGGAGAGGTTTGTGGCTTTCGCATTTCTCTGGCAGGCTAAGCAACTCCCTGCCTTCCTCAATGGCGCCGCGTGGCGACACTCTACACAGCTTTTTGTGTATCATTTAAAATCGAGATTAAGTGCAGTCCGGTATATTCCTTCGACAATATTAATTGGGAAGAGATAAGAGGGTTTATTGGGAGGGAAAGAGAGACGGGTGGGAGCGCATGCCTCTTCATGTTTTTCTTTCTTTCTGCGGATTCTTCCAACTTCAGGCGATGGCGATTTCGACAATCCGCGCCTGTTACCCACCGTCCCTCACATATTAACCTTTGCACTAGAGATTAACACACTTGCGGGCTCCACGGTCTGTGGTCAGCAGACTCACAAGGCTCGAATTTCCGGTCTCAACGATTCATCAATGAAAAAGAAACTGCTTTCATTTAATGTTTTACGCTCTTATATTTCATACGAGAAACACAAGACGGTCCAAGCCTGAGTGCCATGAAATGACCCGTTGCTACATCTGAATCGATTGTCATCAAGTACAACTGACTTGGAGCTCAGCTAGACAGTAAAAAAGAACTAGCAGGAAAGTGATAATATCTAATTAACTTCATTTCACGGAAAAATG